GAATAACATACACGAAGACGACCTGGAGAAATGTAACAATCCTTTGGTTTGCTGCCGAAGACCACCCCCTGTCACCATTCTTCTGACTCCAAATCCTGGCATAAAAAACAGCGAACACAACAATCCAAGTCAAAGCAACCATACTCTTCAACACCATCCGTATTCCAAGCCACACCGTCTGCTTGGAAACCAAACTATACTGAGTCCCGGCATCAAGAACAGATTGCCAAAACCGAAGACCAGCCCAGGTAATGAAAACCGTTAACAGCTCCACCTGAATATCCCTTTCCCCCAAAGCTTCCCAGGGATACTTCTTCCTTGACCAAGCAACAATTATGGAAGCTTGTAAAAATAGAATTAACAGAATCCATTGCCGATCAAAACTCCTAAACACATTCCAAAACGATCGTTGCTCGACAAACCCAGTTTTCCCAACTCTTTCAAACTTGGGTACAGTATCAAAGAAATTACACCCAAAATCAATCGGCCATTTCAAAGTCTTAAAACACCTTCTACTCCAGAAATACTCGTTTATATCATCGTAATTTCTCCAGGCCGAATGCGGCGCGGTTCCGTTCCTACTGCTCTCTACTTCTGTTTTAATCGTTTGGTAAAATGGCATAACGACGCATTTCAAGAATGCACAATCACCTGAAATTGATGGCACAAACGGCCTCCCGGTAAATTCATCGATGTGTTGATCCAAAAATTTGGTTAATTCCATTGCCATGTGATGGTAAATGTAACAAAGGAGTTCTGGACAGAAGCGGAGATTAGCTGCTTCTCCCCAGATTAGGAGATACAGAGAAACGTAGAGGAGCTCCCGGGTTGGGTCGTAGTTGTTTCCCCGGCGCGTGGGGAGGTGGACGTGGGATTTGACGCGAAGGAAAGAGCACCATGAAGTGTAGTTATTTAGTAACTTCTTGCGGAAACTTTGGAGGACGCCGCGGTCGAGTTCGTCGGGGTTCGCTGGAGGCGGCTGTAGGCGCATTTGGCAATTGGCTAAGTGAAGGACGAGGTTTTCCCTTTGGTTCCGAACGTTGTCATTTTGAAAGCCGAAAGAGACGCCTAACCAGCCCATCAGGTCCATGTTTGGCGCCAACGTTACGAACGGTGGTTTCGGGAGGTTTAGAATAGGACGTAAAAGGGCCGCCGCGACGGCGCGTACTTCCGGGTATCGAAGCGACGGATGGTCATCTCGAAGATCGTGGACTGGGATTATGTTGTAGACTTCTTGCATAGGCGGCGGCGGAGGCTGCGAGCGTGGGTCTCCACCACGACCGGGCGTGGGTACGGGACGTTTCCGTAAAGCACTCATAATTCACTTCCCTTTTCCTTACTCCACTTCAAAGCTTCCCCTTTTCCATTTCATCGTTCATGCAAACTCCGAACGACTGAAGCTTTACTCCTGTTTCCTGAGAAGAGCAAGACAGAGAGAAGCTACGAGTAAAGAAGTGAAACAAAAAAAAAACAGAAATTAAAAGTTGTTATTTTTTGGTGTTGGGTTATAACTCACAAAGGATCTTTGGATTGCACACGAAAGCAACCTTTTCCATTTCATCGTTCATGCAAACTCCGAACGACTGAAGCTTTACTCCTGTTTCCTGAGAAGAGTATGACAGAGAGAAGCTATGAGTAAAGAAGTGAAACAAAAAAAAAACAGAAATTAAAAGTTGTTATTTTTTGGTGTTGGGTTATAACTCACAAAGGATCTTTGGGTTGCACACGAAAGCAAGAGATGAGACTCCCTCTAGTAACATTTGCTTTTTAGCCCACATGCCATGGCGGCGAGTGAGGTCACGGCGACAGAACCACGTATCTATTGATTGAAAAAGGGAATTTTCTAGTATTAACAACACATCAATAGTTAATGATAAGGAGTTTGATTAAAACCGGCTCTGGATTCACCTGATCACTAGAGTCTTTCTAGATGGAAAAAGGAAGAATATTGATGCCAATCACTTCCTTAAGAACTATACCCATCCCGTCTGGATGACCTAAGCGTTTAATTGTGTGATACATCAATGCCAAATAAATTTATTTAATACATGGTTCTATTGAACAAGTACGGGTTTCATATAATAATGGTTTGAAGGTGGGACCTTTAGGGTTGGCAATGTTGTAACGGAGCTTGTTGGAAGCAGAAGGCAACCGTTGAGATGTTGTTTCTTTAATTTATTTAATTTGATATGCGAATGAGAGCACCATCTATTGGTGCTCAAATTTTCGAATTAATTCTATTAACCGATGAAATCGAATTAGTTAAGTTAATTCGGATCGAAATCGGTTAATTAATCGAAATTAAATTTTAAATATTAAATATATTATATATAACATATGAACTCAGTCCAAACCATTTAAAACTCAATTAATAATTTAAGATCCATTAGCTTTTAAAACTAAATCAATATTAATTAATTAAAAAATTTATATAAAATTTTTATTTTATAATTATATATTATTTAAATTAATTGTAAACTGTTTTTTTGAATTAAAAAATATTATATATAACATATGAGCTCATCCAAGACCATTTAAAACTCAATTAATAATTTAAGATCCAATAATTTTTATACCTAAATCAATATTAATTAATTAAAAAAATTATATAAAATTTTTATTTTATAATTATATATTATTTAAATTAATTAGAAACTGTTTTTTTGAATTAAAAAATATTTAATTTTTATATAAATTAGAAAATTTTAAAAATTGTCGATTAATTCAAAAATTAATCGAATTAACCGAAATTTATTCGGTTCGGTTAATATTTTTGAAAAAAATATCGGTTCGATTAACGGTTAAAGAAAAAAAATTCAATTAATTCGACTAATAGTAATTCGATTCGATCGGCCACCGAATGAACAACCCTAGCACCATCCCCTACTGTGTCTGTGTGCCCTTTTAACTCAGATTATAATATTTGGCTATTGAGGAAGTAGAGAAGAGAGAATCTCTGCTGTGGCCACTTGTTTTTTTGTCATTTTCTTTCACATTTTGCATGGCTTGTCACAACAGTTTCATAATTCCGCACATGCTATCTGTTGTGGACTTGTCTTTATATCTGCTCACTTGCATCCTCACCCAATTTTATATTTGTTTGCTCTTTAACTTCTGAAAATTTATTTAATATTTTATGTCTGCAAAGTAATATTAGAATTTAAATATCATATTTTTATTAAAGCATTTAATATTTTATTTCATTAATATTTCTTGGTAATTGAATTGTTAAACTTTATAAATAAGAGTACAAAATGGCATATATTATATTAGATTGCATAAAGAATAACAATATAAAATATTTGTTTAATTGTGAATATTAGGGTTTCTTTTTTTTCCCTTTTACCGTTGCTAATCTTTTTTTTCATCTTTCTGAACGGTTGTCAATCTTAGTGCTAATCATCGACCTTTGGTATTCTTTGTTTTCGTTTGTTTTATTATAGTGTATCTTTATTTTTTTCTTTTAAAAATTATGTCTTTATGGCATGATTTGTTCTGCCTTTAGGACAAGCTTTTCTATGTCTTTATGAAACGTTTTCGGTTGTTTAATCGTTATTTTCATATATTCTTTTTTAAGAGTTTGATTTGACATCATTACGATTGATCAAAATGACATTTTATCTATTACCATATTGATCTTCCTTGCTTTTGACCCTTGGATTAGATCTGGATACGAGATTTGTGTTAGTGGATAGTATTTTCACGTCATTCAATTCTGATTTGTGATTTACCGGTCGCCTTTCAACATCTTCATCCCGTTTTGTAGTTCGTTTACAGATATTAGATCTATTTGTATCTACTTTTTATTTGAGTTTATTTGGTTAGATTTTTTAACATTTTTCTTATAAAGTAAATAGTTTTCACGTGTTTAGAAAAATATATTTATTACGTGTTTAGTTTACGATCATGGTTGTAAACCTTCATTATAATTTGGATATTTTTTATTTTTAATAAAATTAACGGCTTCTAAAAATTGTAAAAATATAAATTATATAGATTTATTGTTTTAATTATTTATTTTAGTTCGGTTAGTCATTCTAAAAAAACATAGGTTTAAATATATTTTAGTGTAATTTTCTTTGATTTAGAAATTTCAAATAAAAGATTATAGGTGATTTAAATGTTATATAAAAATCAGTGTTAATATGTAAAATATGAAATTGTAATTTTATTACCTTTTTGTAATAGAGTTGGATTGGTACAAGAAAGCATTGCGAGGCTTAGAAAATGATGAAAGCCGTTTAAAAATTGTCAATTAGTCATGCTAATGCAATGGGTATCATGTGATCATTCCTGTATTCATCTTTCTGAAAAAAATGTGATTTTATAGTCCATGACATTTGGCAAATGCGAGAGAATGACAAAAAAAAGGATTACACTTTAATAATACCAAACAATTTAATAAATGATATAACTATACTTCAAATTTTTATAACTAATTAATAATTTAAGATCTAATAACTTTTAAACCTAAATCAATATTAATTAATTAAAAAATTTATATAAAATTTTTATTTTATAATTATATATTATTTAAATTAATTATAAACTGTTTTTTTGAATTATAAAATATTTAATTTTTATATCAATTAGAAAATTTTAAAAATTTTCGATTAATTCGAAAATTAACCGAGTTAACCGAAATTTATTCGGTTCGGTTAATATTTTCAAAAAAAATTCGGTTCGGTTAACGGTTAAAGAAAAAAAAAGTTTGGTTAATTCGAAAATGATAGTTCGGTCGGTTCGACCACCGAATTAACCGAATTAACACCTCTAGCTATATTGGTCTAAAATTCATTAAAAATTGATATGAGATTTTAAATATTTGTATATAGATGGTAAAACAAAATTATGGTGCAATAAATATAGGCAGTCCCGTCCCAATATAGGCTCACAAAGGCATAAACCCATAAATTTCCCGGGTAAATTTTAGAATTGGGTTGGGACTTGGGATCTAATGTTTAGCGCAGCACATTCATTTTACAGAAAAAACTAGAGGAGACTAATTAAAAAGAAACAAAACCAAACAAAAAAGGGTGCAACGCAGAGACGCCATAGCAGCATGCACATATCTGGTTTAGGATTACACTGGGAAAAGGGGAGCCAGCACAACATGAAGAGAATACAGGTTGAGCACCAAGTAAACTATTGCGGCGGCAAAACCGGCTATAAGGGAGCCAGTGACACGGTCGCAAAATTTTGGAACTTGGTCGCAGATGGGAAGCCAACCTGCATGACCATTCCCTTTCTTCCCTATCTCTCCTACTGCCAAAGCAGCTGAGATACTCGATGTTAATAGCATTGCTATAAGCACGTCCATGATCACAATCAAGCCATCTACCCAGCTCTTCCTAGATAAAAAGAGAGCTACAAGGCCGTAGCCGCTTGCAATTGCCTCTGGAATCACGTAAAACCTATGCAAAAATTTGTCAACCGATAAAAATATACATACTTTAGGAAACTAGACGTGTATGGGGATTGTCCCCTCAAGAAAAACATTAATTGTAAAGGATACTTACTTGAATGAAGGGGCGGTGTTGTATTTTGCCATGAATTTTATGTTCAAAACCTCAGCAGAGTCGTGGCTAGTAACCATGGCAACTGTTGCAGAAACAGTTGCACCCAAAGCTAGAAGCCTTAGGAAAATGGTGATGATTCTCTTGGTTTCGGCCATAAAGGCTCGTTTTCAATGACTCCAATGAATAGTATAGAATGAATAATAGTGTGGTTTAAACTATATATATAGAAAGATAGATGCAGGTTCCAGATTTGAATAATATGATGCATGACACTCATTTCCTTATCGACATGTGTTCGAAGATAAAAAGAATGATTTGGTAACCTGCCAAAGCTAGACTTTTCAATATTTGTGATGAAACCAACAAGAGAGGGATCTCGAATCAAAACTATTGGGTAATGTTTCTGTTTTTTTTTTGTCTCCTGAATTATTAATGTAAAAAGATTTGAAGGTTGAGTGTAGTGAGAAGCTTTTGAGGGCATTTGATGATGGCTGAATCAGTTCAACTACCATTGTGAAAGATGCACGGCGGTTGCCAATATTCAGTCCAGGTGGGCTTTTGGCCTTCGAGTCTTGTGCTAGCGCTGACCTACTTTATTTATGTTCCCCTGGGGTATCTTCGGCTAAATGTCGGAACGGGTGCTGGTAGTTACTACTGCCTGCCTGCTGCTATGTCAACCACGAAGTTTACTTTATTAAGAAACTTGAGTTACCTTCTTTTTTTATATCATAAATAGCAATTACTTTGTCCAGACACAAATTCAAAGTTTTAACATTGGAAGGATTGTTATATGGAAGCCGCTAATGTCCTTTTTGGAGCTTCAAATGAGCTAATCTAGGCCCAACAGAGTGCGGGTACAATTGATGAGCCGAGAAGATTGTTATTAGGCCTATAATATAGTATAAGTATTCTCAAAATCTCCAAGTGGACTACAGTGTGCGTCCGAGACAAACGCGGTCGTATCGGATTTTGCATTTTTTTACTTGAAACCTACACGTTGACGGCGGATTGAAACACACAGCGAAATAGCAGATGGAGAATACAGAAACTAAAAGAGAACAACAGCAAGAAGAAGAAGGACCGCCGACAGGATGGCAAGCTATTCCTCCAACTCAACCGCAGCATTCATCCGGTTTGTCTCCCATATTCGTGTATTTGTGATTAATTATAATTATTTCCATCACCTCGAATCGATTACTTCTATTAATCATCTTATTTTTCCTTAGAAACCTTTTTCCATCTGATTTTTATCGCATCCCGTATCTTAGTTTCATGTCATATTTGGCCTTAGCATTGGGTTTTTTTCTCCAATTATATCACTACCAAAAGGGTTACAAGCAGTGGTGGATCCAGAAATGTAAGAGTGAGTCCAAAATTTTAATTTTCTTTTTGAAAATAATGGGTTTCTATTTTTCCTTAACGCATTAAACTAAATTTAATCATTTTCTCAAAAATAATGAATGCACCTGGTCCCTATGGTGGCTTAGTGCATCCGCCCCTGGTTACAAGTAAACTCTTTGGCGGACTATTCTTCACCAAGAGTTATGTTTTTCATAGTATTTTCTTCATTCATTTGATTTTTTTGTTGATATTTTGAATGCAGAAATGGCTCAAATGGTTTGTGGTTCTTGTCGTCAATTGCTTTCATATCCACGAGGAACCCAGCAAGTTAAATGTTCATGTTGCGAAACAGTCAATTTTGTACTTAAAGGTTCCTTTCTCCTTTTCTGATGTTCAACATCAAACATATCATTGCTTTCTGCCTAGAGCTGTAATGAAGCTGTACATATAATTGGTTTGAAAATAACTTTCCATGTTCTGCCTCCAATTATTGGTATTACCATGAATCATAGTTTTTAAAAGCTTGATCTTTTCACTTGGACAACAGCATGCAGTCTGGTTTTCAGTTCAGTCTTCACTTTTGTGATCTATTAGTAGAAAATAGAATGTGGTCTCCAACATTTGATTAGCCTTCTCTTCTCTTTCAGCTCATCAGGTTGGACTGGTTAAGTGTGGCAGTTGTGCATTGTTGTTGATGTACCCCTTTGGAGCTCCATCAGTCAAATGCTCCTCTTGCCTTTGTGTGAAGGAAATCGGGGTAATGTGAATTTTTCTCTCTTTTCTTTCTTGCAATTTTCATGCCGGCTTGCTTTCGTCGACGTATTTTGCTCACATCAGATTGTGTTATTAGTGCTACCATTCTTATGTGAAGTTGAGATCAGTAGATTCATTATGTTGATACTTCATGTGTAGGCACACAACAGACGCCCTCCGTGGTCTGTACAACAGGGGCAACCGACACCTCCAAATGCTGTGCATTTAACTGCCCCAATGTCTTTCGAATCTATTGATCATTGACTCTCTTTGTTATGTTGATGTATATTTGAATTATCTGCGTACAGGAACTAATGCTGATATCATCATAATGAAGTTGTAATCTTTTTTGATGTGCTAACAAATTTTAAGAGTCCTGAATCATGTTTCAGACCAGCTCTCTTGCCGTGAAGGTTTAATCCTTTGTACTTCATTTGATAATAAGTATCATTTTTTTAAACGTGTCTTAATACATGAGTTAACAATAAACATCTTCGACTAGTTTCAATGTCTAACCCAGTAATGGGATGAGTGGGTGGCAATCATTATAGAATCCTCCTGTTGCATTCATTCCCCGGGCCTTGTTAGTCGTACGATTATACCTAATTTTTAACACCATATCAGAGAACCATTTTTAAAACTTCGATCTCTCATTTTGTTCTCTCCATTGAACTTTAGGGCACCCCATTGGTCACTCCATCGTGTTATTTGGTGCTGCAAAATTAAACCCGAGTCGCACACTGTTCCTGTTTCTAGAGACCATAGAGCCCACGAAGTAAAAACCAAATGTAAATGGAAAAAGCACATCCCATTTCCGTATCAAAATTGCAATAACGAAATCAGATTAGACAAGTTGAGTAAGAGTGCAAGGAGAACAAAGAAATGTAAAAGTAAAGTGTTGTCGCCCCCATCGAGCTGTGGACATTTCACCTTTTTTGGGAATAAAGATGACTTGCGATTAAGCAGGAGGTAAACCAAGCTAAATAGCCAATAAAGATTACTAAAAATGTATCTACAGAATCAAGTTGGATATGCATGCTTTATGGTTCCATTAAAATGAAACAAATAATAATGAGTGGAAAAATGGAAAAGCAAATTAGACAAATCAAGGAGAAGTTATTTATTTGATTGTCGTCGTCTAAAAGCTACAGGACATGTAGATATTTCACCCGTATTTAGCGCTATGCAGTCAAATAAAAATATTCACAAACCCTGGAATTGGGACACTGATATTCTATTATCATGTCTTTCCTTCTCCTTTGACAACACTATTTTTGGGAGATGCTATTTTACGCTCCAACAAGCTAAGTAGTAGTTTAAGCTTTGTCTGCTAAAGACGATGCTCCGTTGTTGTCCAAGAATTAGGTTTTTGGTACATGAAGGTGCGGAATTAGCAGATAATAGCAAAAATATTACTCGTTTAACAAAAATGAATGCAGAAAAAAAACCTTTAGATTGATGTTGCCCGGACTTGAACCCGGGTCTTTCGGGTGAGAGCAAGTATCCTAACCAACTTGATTACTTTATTTACTACCATAATGAGATTGTTTATTTGGAGACTTGATTATTAACGCAATTTTGAAGCCAAGCTATACGGAAAATCAATCCAAAATAAGGGAGTTCAAGCATATTGAGATAATACGGAAAACAGAGAGCATATTCTATTTGATCATTACTCAAAAACTTAGTGTTGGGGAGTTTTGAAGATAAATCAAAACCAGAAAAAGCCTTTACGCAGTAATGTAAATTGTCCATTTAACTTGTATGATTGAAGAATTTGTACTTGAAGTCAAAGTTTTAATTTTAAAAAGCCTAAACCATCCTACTCAGATCGTGTGCCTTTCAACTCACCGCAGCTCCAGTGCGATACAACAACCTCCAATAAGCTCAGAAATGTAATAAAGTTGAGAAAAGGTTGGTCAGTTCAAGAAGACTTTCAAGCCTTATCTAACTTCATCGTCAGTTAAAATATCGAACGACCCAAAACTCACACCTTCCTCTCTCTTCGGACATCAACAACTTTGCAGCCTAAACCACATACAGGCATGACGGACGCAAGATTCACTACAGTAGAATGGGGCTATAGCGGCGTATTTTTAGTCCTATAGCAGTATTTTTAAGCTCCGTAAGTAAAAAACCTTCCCGGCATATAAAAAACCGCCGCAAGAAATGTCACAAACTTTAGCGGTGTTTGTAAATAAAAAAACGCCGCAATAGGTTCGGACATTTAGCGGCGTTTTTTTAGACATGCCACAATAAGTTCAGACATTTGACGCCGTTTTTTTACAAACGCCACAATATGTTATGACATGTAGTGACATTTATATAAACGTTGCAAAAGGTTACGACATATATCAGCGTTTTAGAGACTGATTTACAAATGTTAACTTGTACTCTTTATTGCCCAAATTTAATGTATCTTGCAGTAAAAATTTCCAATATCAACTTTGATATGACTCAAATTAAGTAAAAAATATTTAACAAAATAAATAAATCGAAGTTTACAAATATTCAAGTACACAATTCAACATTAAATGAAATGGAATGTAGTTCAACATTCAAGTAAAATTTAATATATTTTAACAACTACAATAAACGTAGCATGAACCTAAGAAATCACCTAGGGTGGTAAATTTCACGGCTGATATTGATGCATCATCTGCTTCATAATTTCTAGTTGTTTTTAAAGTTCATCATATTTTGCCTGATATGTTACTTCTCTCTCTACTTCTCTTGCTTCTCTCCCTTATCTCGCTTCAACTTGGGTCATTTGATCAAAATTTTCATCTACTTTAGTCAACTGTTTTTTTAATCGAAAAACTTCTAATTGAGAAGATAGACTCTGTGATGACATGTACCGAGACGAACTGGATCCAAAATATTTGGATGGTGTAACGAATGATCCTGACATCGAACTCGACTATATCTTTCGAGACCAAAAACTTCAGCAATAACTTGATTTTCAATATAATCCACATAAATGGAATCATGAGATGAGGTCGTCGCTTCATACTATATCCTTTTATCACTCAATTTTTTTTAAGAATCAATTAAAAATTTAGAATAAATTTAAATGTTATTTAAAATAAATATGTTATACTAGTTATATAAGTATAACATAATTTAAATTTTATGTCCAATAAATATGCCATGATTTCTGTAGCTTTCGGAGCAATGGAAGAGCCATCTTTTTCGTATGTGTTAGTTTGAAGAGCTTTATTCGTCCAAATCGATTGTCGGACGTGGCTTCATACAATAAAGAACATAAATTAGTACTTACACAAAATTAATAAATAATAAGAAAAATGTTCATTACAATGTGAATAATCATAATTAAAAAAAAAAGAATACTTCCTCATGAGCTACACGAGCAAAGCTCTTCGATCCAGCTATGTGAGTAAACTTTTATTGTTGTCTACTAGCAATACCAATATGCTCTCGATCCTACAATTTGAAATTTACATGACTTATAAAATAAAAATTATAGTGACATAATATTATTTTTTAAAGTTCACATCATACGTCTCCTTTCTTTGAACTCTAAAACTTGACTGCATCTTCCCATTGATACCTGAGCATTACAGGTGGGACATTTTACAACTTTTGTTATAGGCTGAGATTATTCTTAAAATATTTCTTTTTCAAGGAACTCTTGTGGTCTCTTCATTTCTTTCCTAATGCTTGCTTCAAGTAATCATCTAAGACATCTAGAGAAAATTTATCCTACAATTAACGCAAGTGTTAAAAGTGAATATAAATTAGTAATGAACAATAATAAATTATATATTACTGTAATCACTATTTTTTGTCCTAAAATCACCACAACCATACCTGCTGCAGCAACCATGCCCTGCACATCAACCTCCTGCTCCAACACGCCCACCATGCCCTGCCATCTGTTGACTCTGTCACACACCACCACTGCCCATGCCTCTACGATAGCAACAACAAGGCCACCATCTCCCTCAAATCACGGTACCTTCAACTTCCAATAAAAGTTTTTTATTTTATTTCTAATCAGAAATGGGTATATAACCCAGAAAAACAAAAAACAATGAAAATATTTTTTGGAATAAAAAACATAACCAAAAAAGTTCCAAACTAAATGGTATCTAGCCTTTATTTTTTTGTTTTACATGTATGTAATGTTTAATCTAAGAAAAGATAAAAAGATAGGGATTTAGAACTCATCTCACGGTTGCCATGCTTCATCGAGAGTAGATGGGCTGTCGAGGAAGACTTTGTTGGCCTGATTTTGGTTCGGTTTGGGTTGTTTTGGCAACTGTGGATGGGGGTCAATTTTAGGGGTAGGTCACGGCGGCGTTGTGATAGATATATGACCTTCTCAGCCTAAGAAAGGAAGGGGAGGAACCTTGGGTCTTTGGGAGTTGCATTGGATGAGCTTCCCGCGCCTTGTAAGGTGCCGACTAGAGTGGAATAACCACCAATATATTGTGGCCGAAGCACCGCTTACCTTGGGTCTTTGGGATTCGGCTGATGCGTGCATGAAGAGGAAGGGAGAGAGATAAGTTAAAGGTAAGATTTTTAGGGTAAGTTTTTTCGGCTGAAATAGGGAAGAGATATAAGCCTTTGTTTTTGGGTAAATTACGCTAAGGTCCCTAGACCTTTAACATGTTTTTGCGTTTAAATCACTTAGTTATGGGATAATTACCCAAAGGTCCCCAGACTTTAGGTAGCCTTAAGAGTCCTAGTCACTAAATTAAGGTATTATCTCGTGTCAGTCCTCATTTTTTAGCACCTTTTGTGTTTTAATCATCTATTCGAGGGAAAATCACCTTTAGATCCCCCAAACTTGGTCGTGTTCTTGCTTTTAGTCACTAGATACTTTATATTGATGTTTTCTTTGATTTAGGTATTTTATTTTATTTTATTTTAATTCAGTCACATTTTGATATGCCATTTATTTGAATATAACAACTGATCTTTAATTTATTTTATTTTAATCACTAATGAAGTTTTATTTTCTTTTGATATGGGTATGTAATTTTTATATTATTATTTTTTCCTTGCTACTGACACATGTAATTTAATTCTATTTTTGTTTTAGGTTCTCATTTTTCCATGTTTATATTCTAGTCATTGTTTAAGTTTAACTGGTTGCTTAATTGGCTTTTGTTGTAGTTATAATTTATGATTTATTTTCTGTTTTATACTTTGAAATTGTTGTTTTGGTATTTGTATTATCCTATCTTTGTTTTAATTTTTCCTTTATTATTTATTGATTTATTATCACATGCAAATATGTCGTATATAGTGTGTGTGTATATATATATATATATAGACATTTCAATATTGTTGTAAACATCGATTAAAATTTATAGAATGA